GCCATGGAGTGAAATTGGTCTAATCCTTACCTTTGTGTCTATGAAGATTGTTACTGCTTTGCAACATTCTGGTGGGACTTCACGGGTACCCTAACTTGGTATTGAAAATCGCTAAGAGGCACCAAAATAAGATGAGAGCCTTTGGAAATGTAATTTGCATTTGTACACTAAAGGCATAACAGTATGCACTAAACTTTAACCTAGTGGTCAACATGAATTGGATTGAAAACTTGTAAAGGTTCCAATGATTTGCAAGTAAACCCTAGTCCTTGCTAAATAGTAAAAAAAGGACTAATTAAAATAAAAATAACTTAAATGCCCTAAAATTGCCTAAATACTAGAAACAATTAGAGCCTATAACAAAGTAATGCATAGATCCTAAATTATTTAACTCTACAATCATCTTCTTTTGGTGCTGCATCAGATATGGTGGTTCTTGAAAATGGGAAATTAAATCCTTTACAAACCCTGATGAATTTGAGAATCATCTCAGGTCTTTTGTGAAAACCAGAGGACCAAACCAAGCTAGTGGGCATTTTTCTCTTAACCTGCTTTCGCTTTGGAGATTGTATGGCACACGAGCTGTCTACAATCTTTCAAGAAAGATTGATTTTTATGTATTTCTCTTCTTATATATGATTTCTTTTGAATAAAGTTGGGTTGGCAGTTGATCATGTACTATACAGACACGCAAACATATATATATATATTGCCCTTTGTTCTATAATGCCTTTGCTACATATTTGGTAGTTACTTATAATCATAAGTGGATTGCTGTTTCTGAGGAGAAAAATAAAAAATGTTCAACAGCTTTGTGTCTATATTGCTTCTGATGGAGGTCGAGTTTGTCGTCCACTGGTTATAGCTGACAAGGGAATTTCAAGGATCAAAGATAACCATATGAAGGAGTTGGTGGTAAGTGTGATGTGTAAATCTTTTTCCACAAGGAAATGTTATTAAAGTAATGATTTACTCTTTTGTGCTCATTTAGGATGGAATTCATACTTTCCAAGACTTTGTTCATGGAGGGTTGATTGAGTATCTTGATGTTAATGAACAGAACAATGCTCTGGTCTGTTTTCATCTATTATTTGTAAAATTATAATTGACTGATTGTGAATCTCAAGGCATGATTATCCCCTTTTTTCATATTTAGATTGCATTATATGAGGGAGAGGCCACATCTGAAACAACCCATATTGAGATAGAGCCTTTCACCATCTTAGGCATCTGTGCTGGGCTAATTCCATATCCTCATCATAATCAGTCACCAAGAAATACCTATCAGGTTTTGTCTATCGAATTAATACGCAATTCAGTGATTTTCTTTTTTTTATGACATTTAAGTCTTATGCTATATGTGTATTTATATATAGTGTGCTATGGGTAAGCAAGCTATGGGAAGCATTGCATATAACCAGGCAAGTGCTCTTTCTTATAATTTATGATAACAAAATTTTGTTTCCCCTTTCCTGTACAGGATTATTGTATTCTGGATTGGTGATGGCATTGCATCATGTAAAGCAACATGCTTTAGCTGTGTTTGTGAAGATATGAGGCCAGCTTTACGTCTGCAAAAGTCTTGTTGTTCTAATGTAAATATTGTCATAGTGCAATTCAAATGTATTACGTAGCCTATATGCACTAATGTGAAAACTCGTACTTACCTGGATATTTACAGTATTTGATCTTGGGTACGATAGCTATGCCCTGTAAGCTTTTGTTATTATCATGAAACATTTTAAAATGTTGCCATTGATAGTCAACAGATTCTCTTTTCTTTTCAGCAGCCCCCCTACCCCCCCCCCAAAAAAAAAAATCAAAACAAAGAAAATAAAAGGAGACAATTTCTTGAGAGTAAATCTCTTGTCCCATAAGGAGAATGACAATTTATTACCAAATTATTGATGCTACATGTCCTCATTGCATTTGCTGTGTTTCAGTTCCTTTTCCTTCTGTTGGAATGTTTTGTTGGGCTGTTTCTGTCTGAGATGTTAAGACTGTTAGTTTGAGTCTTTGCAATTTCTTTAAGGGGTCATTGGTAGGATAAAGAGTTGTAGTTCTTATGTATCTTTTCTTTTAGTATTCTTGATTTTTTTTTTATAAGTTTGCTACTTGAAGTTACAGTTTTCTCGAATGGACTCCTTACTTTACCTGTTGCTTTATCCTCAACGGCCTTTATTGACAACAAGGACAATTGAGCTGGTAAGTATGCAGTGTGTTTTTGAGGGTGGTACATCAGTATGTATGATACATAATATACTTTGCTCCCAGGTTGGATATGATAAGCTTGGAGCTGGTCAGAATGCTACTGTTGCAGTGATGAGTTATAGTGGCTATGATATAGAGGATGCTATTGTGATGAACAAGTCATCTCTGGATCGTGGGTTTGGTCGTTGTATTGTCATGAAGAGGTAAACTGTTGTGTAACCTGTTGATTTTATTTCTTTTCTTCCTTCTGGTTGCAGCATTGTAATCCTTTGTTGTGTTTGTGCATTTTGAGATCCCACTTGAGTTTAGAGACTCCAGTTTGCTCATGTCAGATATTCTCCATTGAACAGTTACACTGCCATTTATCAGAAGAATTATGAGAACGGTACATCAGATAGAGTACTTAGGCCACAAAGAACAGGACCTGGTTCAGAAAGGATGCAGGTAACACATGATGGTGCATTTATGTAGTTTTCCTGCTTCATTCTAATGGATTCTGTATTTTGCATCTCTCTATGGCATCATTCAGGTATCCTCACACCATAATTGCTTACTATGAGAAATGCTTTAACATGACTTCATGTATGTTTGGTGGCAATTTTTGCTTTGTTCTCCCTTTCTTGCTTGTTCACTTTGTTTGATTTCTTATTGCCTTTTTAAACTTGATTTTTGCTCTTTCTCTTTTTGGTCTTTCTTGATTCTCCTCTTTTTGTTGTTGAGCCTGTTCAGTTGTCTCCTAGCAATTTTAGCCTTCTTAGCACTCTGTAAATAAGCTAGCTACCCACTTGCATGCAACACACTGCAATTCTCGGAAATAATATTCCTATTTTCTAATCAGCAGAAACATTCTCCAAACCTAACCAGTATCAGCTATTATGGGAGAGTGGTCATGTCCTTTTGAGCATATATGCTTTACCCTCAATAGCAGTGAAAAAGACCTGCAAATTTCAGAGTTTAAGATCACATGGAATTTTTCAAACTAAGCACACACCATATGCCATTTTACTCAACTCCTTAAAATGATAGATGATTTAACCATGTTTCTTGTTACTATAGGGTGATTTGCATAATTCTCACAGTCAAAATCTTGCATGCAAGGGAAGCACTATTTCTAGGATGCCCATTTCTTATCCTGTTTTAGAATAGGTGATTGCATTAAATATTAGTGCCAAGTGTTCTCTTTTCTGGTTATAGATTTTCACATAGATATTGGATGATGACAGACTTGCTGCTCCTGGGGATATAACATCTATAATAATTAGGAGTCTCATCCATATTCTGCATGAAATGAAAACACTGTTTCTAGGATTGCCATTTCTTTTCTTGTTGTGTAATCTGGTGATGACATCCAATCTTACTGCTTAGAGTTCTCTTGTCTGGCACATTGTTTCTTTGTTATAGATACTGGATGATGATGGACTTGCTGCTCCTGGGGAGATAATTAAGCCAAATGACATCTATATCAATAAGGAATCTCCTATTCATACCACAGGGCAACGAGTACCTGCAGATGGACAGCAAGATATGTGAGTTGTTTCTTTCATGTGCGCACTTTTATTGATATTTTAGTATACCTATGTTTCTCACCTGATTAGCAACATGCAGTGCATATAAGCCTGCAAAACAAACATTTAAAGGTCCCGAAGGAGAGTCTTGTGTGGTAGATAGAGTTGCCCTTTGCTCTGATAAGAGTGAGAATTTATGTATCAAGTTTATAATTCGCCATACACGTAGACCAGAGGTATGAAATATAATTTGGTTTCCATTTGAAATATTTTATTTATCATGAACATTTGGCCGACTCTTACGTTATACTTGTTCATTCAGGTTGGTGACAAATTTAGTAGCAGACATGGGCAGAAGGGTGTTTGTGGCACCATCATACTACAGGAAGATCTTCCATTTTCTGAAAATGGCATCTGTCCTGATTTAATCATGAATCCTCATGGTTTTCCAAGGTATTTTCTTTTGCTTTTTCTTATTAATATACTGATGATGGCATTTATTGTGAAGCTTTTTAAGCATTTAAGGACCATTAAGCATCATGCAGTAGCCCTAATGCTTTTGTGTGTGTGTTTCACTATTAAGAGTGGTTTCTTTGCACACATGGAACAAACACTATTACTGAAAAAGATAAATTTCCACACACCGCGTACCTAACACTTAATTTTAGGAGTTCCAAAATGAATGTCTCCTTTACTAGTAAGTCCTTAATTTTAATTTATAGCATTTCCTAATGTCTTCAAGTAACAGATTCAAGTTTTGATACTACAGAAATGCAAAATTTATAATGTAAAAAAGATAAAGCAGAATGGCATGTGGTGCTCCTTCTAAAGGTGCATGCTAGGTTGAAAATACCATGTAAAATGTTACAGAGGAATTTGCACAGATCAGTAAAGTGTTGATAAACTGACTGCAGACTAGAAAAATCAACGCAAAGTGCATAGAAACTTAGAATGACCTAACAGGGCTAAATATATTTTGGAAAGGCTAAGGTGGACCAAGTTAAGGAAAGAAAAAAAAAATAGAATGACCTCTTAGGCAAAAGGGGATGTGGCCCCTGGGCTCCGACCTTGTCTGTACTGAAATCACTTATTTGCTTTGTTCTTCAAAGTTTGCAATTCAAGTTTTATTTATATAGGTTCAATTGGTATTGCTCAGTTGGTATCACTCAGTAGATTTATTTTTGACTGATATTCTTCTTTTATAATCAGTCGGATGACAGTAGGTAAGATGATAGAGCTTCTTGGGGGTAAAGCTGGAGTTTCATGTGGTAGGTTTTACTATGGAAGTGCCTTTGGAGAAGCAAGTGGTCATGCAGACAGGGTTGAAGCTATAAGGTGGATTACTGCTTTCCAACGTATGACTTTAATATCCAACTATTTCAAATTTCAATCCTAGAAAATTTTCCCTGCTTTGTGACAGTGAAACACTTGTGAAGCATGGTTTCAGCTACAATGGCAAGGACTTCATTTACTCAGGTTTTGCTTCTTATTTCATCCCACATGAAGCAAATAATCATGTGGAGTACTAGAAGTTGAAGAGCATCATTTTACACTTTTTTCAAGTTAGAAGAGCAACTTGTGGTCTCTCATCTCTTGCACTTTGCATAATGTGTAAAATGTGGATAAACCTTGCATAGTTGACATGTGGATCGGTGGTTGTATACATATGCGTCCTAGTACTTCCAACTTTGCTTCAGGTATCTCAGGTTGCCCACTACAAGCATTTATCTTCATGGGACCAATTTACTACCAGAAATTAAAACATATGGTGAGATTTTGATCCCATTACAGCATGCAACTCTTTGGTTGTTGATTATCCTTGCTCTCGGTCCAGGGTCAAAAACATTCTGATCATATATTTGGTGAAAGAAACCGCAGGTCTTAGTTTAATTTTAGTCCCTCTACTTCCATCAAATGTTACTTTAATCCCTTTTCTTCAATTTCAATTGACCGAATACCTTTACTTTGATGAACTATTAAACTAATAAGATTAATAGCTTTGCTAACTTACTGTCATTAAGGTGATGACTTGGTGGACAACATGGCATTTTCGATAAAAAATGACTTGTAAATTTTTTAGTGAAATGATAATTTAATCTCTCTCTCTCTCCACTCGAACAAATTTTCTTGCCTGTCAAACATCATACCAGCCATCAAAAAAGAAATATATGTAGAAAAAAATCTTTTATTTGGTTGTGTTCCAAACACTTGTACAAGCCAAAATACACAATGCCATCAGAAAATAATATTTCTTAAGAAATAGTGAAACCATCCAAAAAATAAAACTTCACCACTGCAACAACTGCCAATATCCTCCATCTGTCTCCTTTCCTCAGTTGCAGACTAGCACATATCTGAACATTCAACTTATAATGAAAACAAAATATACTCAAGTATTTCGTAATGCATTCAATATTAATTTAGCTTTGACTTATATTTGCTGATGAGACTTTTAATGATGATTAGGTCCTGGATAAAATCCATGCCAGAGGTAGCGGGCCTCGAGTTATGCTAACTAGGCAGCCTACTGAAGGCAGAGCCCGAAATGGAGGTTTTTATTTATATATAGATTGAAACTTTCTCCATCTGTCTTTTTCTTCTCCATTTCTGTTTTACTTAGGATTATACATTTTAATAGCTATTTGTCTTCTAGGACTGCGTGTAGGAGAAATGGAACGTGATTGCCTGATTTCTTATGGAGCTAGCCTGTTGATTTTTGAGCGCCTAATGATCTCTAGTGATCCTTTTGAAGTGCAGGTAATAGCTCCATGCTTTTGCAGTTTGTTGAATCAGTTATCAAACTCGGGGAACTTATACTTTGCAACCCAGGTTTTTTGCATGGGTTTCCCAGCTAATTTCGTTGTGAGTTTTTCAATCACCATAAGTGCACATCAGTGTCTTTGTTAGAAGGCTTGTTAACAAATTGGCAAAAACATAAGTAATGCTTTAGCATTTAGGAAGTTTTCTTTGTCATGGATCACTTCTTTACAGGATGAAGATCTTCTATCAGATCCGTAACCAACTTTTGGAAAAATTCAATTAAGCTTTACCATGTCTCATTTTGACTTATTTTTAGTCATAAACGTTGTCTCCCAGTCTGCGATGCTACAAACCTTTGCCCTTTCATCTGTTTGTGATATTTCTTCCCAACAGTTACAACCCCTAATTATATCTAATCTTAGGGAAAGAAACCTTAGGTGATGTTTTAATTTGTACACATCTTGGAAGAAATCTTAAGTATGGTGTTTTTACCAAGTCATCCTGCTGGTTGTCAAAATTTGTTCATGTCACTCCTGTACTTGGTATTTGTGAAAAATGTTAACCCTCTAGTCTCAAATTTGCTGACCTTGTTAACCAACTCTCTTTAACTTTGTTGATGTGACAAATATTGGCCTTGACATGACATTATGTGGCAAAAAATAAAGTAAAAAATTAAGAATGAAGAGAAAAGCCTTTTCTTTTGTATTTTTTGTCCGTCTTTTATCACTCCTCCTTTCTCTCTCCACTTCACAAATCTCTCCTCCCTCGAAGGTGCCACGATTGGAGCTTCGTGACACTCAACTCCACACCATATTTGTTGAGATTGCACAATCATTGTCTCCCTAATTTTGAAATTTCCTGTGTCTATATATGGTAGTTTTATTTCATTTTAATATCTGCCTGTCTCTACACCTTTAAAGAGAAAGGGTGGATAAAAGAAGAGAAAACAAAGCTCTTTGCTTACACTTTGATTTAAGCTAGTCAATGTCTTGATTACTTGATTTGAACATTTTGAACAAGTATAGAGACTCATTGCATACTTTAATAGCTTTCTCTGTATATTTTATCAAAGCCATTATATCTGACATTTATGGAGTTTTCACACAGGTTTGTAGAAAGTGTGGTTTGTTAGGATATTTCAGTCATAAGCTGAAAAGAGGGATTTGTTCTTCCTGTAGTAATGGAGATAATATCTCTATGATTAAGTTGACATATGCTTGCAAGCTCTTATTCCAGGTAAGCTTTGACATTTGTTGTGGTTATTATCATGGTTGAATAAGAAATGAGATCTTTGTCTCAATGTTCTAATTCTGTAAGGTTGATTCATTTGCAGCTCGGTATGTTTTTATATATTGTCATAATAGGTTACACTAATAATTCAAATACACTCAGCATCAGATCTATCTATTTTTAACTTTGATACTACTATATAAACATTTGCTTACACGGTTGAAATCATGGGTCGTAATATTCTCAGTCTAGTGTGTTGTTAATACAGAATCAAAATATTTCATGTCAATCATTTTAATGGAGAAGTGAAGACTACCTTTTAAATATGTTTAAGTTCAATTGAGAAGTATTATGAATGGTGTTGTTTTAAAATTTATGTTTTCCTATTATTGAATTTGCTATGGTCATTTTTTTTAGTACTCCCTTTATTTTTCCTTTTCTTTTAATCTAAATAATTTTAAAAAAAGATATATACATATATATATATATATATATATATATATACAGATAATGTAGATAGTTATCTAATTTTATGTTTTTTTAGACAAAGAGAAATTTAATGTAATTGAATTATTCTTATTAGAAAGAAAGGAAGATCAAGAAACCAAAATATAAAAAAAAGATAATAAAAAGTAGTAGGTGATTCATAAATTAATTAGGATTTTGACTGTATTTTCTTTCTTATTTTTTTATTTATTGTCAAAATGAAATGTTTTTCTTATAATAAAGTATTCTTCCCATCATGAGCATCTTGTTTTCAAATGTGCTCGTTTAATGATTCCTAACAAACGCTCACTAATTGCTTCTAAGCTACCATTTCTACTTGGTGCATATAAAAGCATTGATCATTTATTTGGTACAAGACCCTTTAAACTCTTTCTCAATAACTTCTCTTTCACTCAGCCTTTTTCATCTTAATTCTTTACCGAATTCCTTCATTATACATTTTTTATTTTTTTTTCTCTAATTGGTATCCCTCACCTCTTGCCATAAGCACTCATGACTTCATGAACAGCTTTAACTTCTTTTTTATCACCTCTAGCGCATTTCAATTTATTTGTAGTAATATTACCTCTCCCTCCTTACTGGAAAAACCTTTTACATTTTTGACGATTTTATTGAGCAGGATTGCTTGTATTAAGTAAAGCTGCACAAACAAAAAAGAAAAAATCTTGTGCCATTGGAAGAAATGAACAGCTCCACCAAGAAGGAAGATTGACTTGTTCAATCCTACATGTAAGATATGATGAAAGATGTTTCAAGTTTCCCAAGAATTAGATTTTAATTCAATTGCACTTATTCAACTTTAGCACATGACTATTAAATAATAATAACATTTATTAACTCAATTGAAATAAAAATTATACATAAAAATTTCAATTAGTAATATTAACTTTTTGATGTAAGTAATTTTAATTGAGACCATTTATGTATCTAAACATAAAAAGGATAAATATCCATGTGCTTATGAAGTCAAATAATTTCTAAACATAAAGATCTCATTTACAGGTATAGCCAAGTACAAATACAACAACAATAAACATTCAATTTCAAGAAAGTTATAAACTGCATTAAACACTCAATTTCATTACATACAAGAAAAGAAATCATGAGCTTAAAATAAATGAGTATTTAAGTAAATATTCAACATGTTTATCTCATACTCAAGTATTCATAAAATTAGATGAGTATAAGCATTTAAATAAATATTCAATATATGCATCAAAAGCTTAAATTTTCAAAAAAAACTTTTACAAAGTGGATCATAGGGATGCCATCAAGCATTATTCTCAAACATCATCATCAATCAAGCAATCATTACTAAGCAACATCAATCAATCATTTTCAAAGAATTCTCTAATTCATCTAGAAATGATAATTCAAGGAGAAATTCCATATCAAAAGAATATCATCATTTAGCATGCTTAATCATCATCAACTATTCATTTAGTAACCATTCCAAGAAATATTTTCCAAATTATATATGAAGTTAGCAATTCAAGGAGAATTTTGTTATTAAGAAGATATCATTATTAATGAAACATTACTAAAACATTTTATACTTATTGCAATCATGTAAAAGAATATT